TACCGCTACAAGATGGCAGAAAAGGGATAAGGAGATAACGATCTTTTTACCTACAAGACAGATATGCAAAGGATTGGACATTAAGAAGAACTTCATCACAAATGTGAGTTATGAGGATACCTGATGAATCAATAATAAAGACTTTGTATGAATGTCTTATTGAGTTTATCTATCTGCATCTGTACAAAAGACAAAATCTACCACTGTACAGAATACAGAACAGGGATCTTGGAGTCCTAGTGGACAACCACTTAAACATGCATCAGCAGTATGCTACAGTTGCTCCCCAAAAAACCCCAACAGAAGCATAGGCTGCATTAAGAGGGATAGAATCAAGATAACATGAAGTGTTAGTACCACTTTATAAGGCCTTGGTAAGACCACACTTGGAATATTGCATCCAGTTTTGGTTGCCAGAGAGGATTGGGACAGGCAGTATCTCTGTCATGCAGACGCATGGACGGAGCTGGTAAGGATTTGCGATTCCTCCCAAAGGAAGTTGTCCCTCAAGTACCTCCTACTAATGCAGAAAGAGATAGAGGAGCATCTCACACGGTGGCGAGACAGTGAAAGTAAGCTTAAGACCCAGAGCACCAAGAACACATTCAATGCTTCAAGGAGACAAACAAAGAACGCGAAGACTGCATCAGGGAAGAGAAAAACTCCGTCCAGGCCGTGCTCCTTGATGAGCTAAAGGAGGAGCAAATACCAAGGGAGAAGGCCACATCCGACAGATTTTCAAACACAGCTTCTTCCCACCAAAGAAAGCCTCCTCCCTCCATCCAAAACCGCTTTTATCGCAAGCAGGTTCCAGTGTCTCACGCCAATTCTCTGCTGCTGGGTCTCACCATAATTCTAGAGCATCCTCCCATCGTAGCGGAGCAGCAAGTTACACCGAACGAGCTGTAGAAGCCCAAGTTGAAGCTGCAGCAGCAGAGGCAGATTTACGTATTACGACAGAGGTGATGGCCAACGAACAAGCAGAAATGGCCAAACAACAAGCAGAAATAGCCAAAACTCAGGCCCAAGTGGAGTTACTCGAACAACAAAGAGAGACGGCAGCGAAAACAGCACAGGCCGCAGCATGGCCAACACTGAAGATGGCCAACACTGCTTTCCTCAACTTCAAACTCGAAGACTTGGGAGAAGAGAGCCCAGATACACGGGTCAAGGCCTACGTGGATAAGCAGCACTCACTTCGAAATGAGCAGGTGGATAATATGATAATGCCTCGGATAATACGAGATTCACTTCCCACTAAGAGCAAACCTTCCCCAACTGATGCTGTATGACCTAAAGTCTGAGATTCTCTTCCCAGAATCAGCAATCCTAACCCAATGTCTCATGGCCTGTCGGGCAAGCAAATTAGCCCACCAGTGCTCACAACAACTTCTCAACAAGTTGACATACAACCAATCACAATTGCCACACTCAATCCTCAGGTAAAAGATTTCTCACCACAACCGCTAAACAACTCTGACGCACAGCGTGGAACCTACACCTACCCTCAAAAGGTACTATCTACAAATGTGGGGGCAGATACCGACCTCCTCATAAAGCACTCTGTGGCGAACCACGTACAATCCACAACACATGCCCTTGAGCCAGAACACCACGCCTTTGATGATGTCATACGAAGAGATGACTTGCCCTCACAGAGAAGTAACAGAGAACCGTTACTAAGGTGCGAAAGGTTAGACTTAGCAGCCAGTGGTGTGTACAAATTCAACAAGCCAGGCAGAGAATACCTACTATGGAAGATCATTTTCACAAGTACCGCTCAACGTGAACAGCTGCTTCCTGGTAAAGAACTTAAATTTCTGTTGGCATGGCTAGGACCACGGTCTAGCTACATGGTGAAACACATTTACACAGGCATACTTAACAACCCAGACATTGCTTTAAAATGAGCATGGGATTCTTTGGACCAGAAATATGGCGATGACACATTGATGGAATACTCGCTCCTAGAACGACTTTACAATTTCCCATGTTTCGCCATCCACAAAACCCAAAAACTAGAGGACTTTTCCAACATCCTTACAGAGCTGCAAACAGCCAAAGAATGTTCTGACTTACCAGGACTGCTTGACTTGATCTCTTCATAACGCAAGAAGTAATCATCGCCAAAATCCCAAAACAAATATTACAACGATGGATCGTTTTCTCCGATGCCTTTCTTGCTGCAAACGAGACACACCCTTTGCCTTTCTCCAAGAATTGGTCATCTGGCAGAGTCCTGCAACAGCTTCAGACGCAGATTTTACCCACCTAATTATCGAAACTCTGCACCTCTCCAGACTTACTGCACATCTCTACAGATCATCACTAAGCCACAACACATAAAACCGATATTGACTCCTCCTCCATACACAGTTCGGGAGAGAACTCATCAGATACAACCCAATTTAGTTCTCCAACTCCAAAGAGAAGCAAGTATTGTCCTTTGCACCACACTCGACATTCACTGAACAGGTGCCAGGGGTTTGCAGCGAAATCCCTGTCCAAAAGGAAAGAGTTAATAAAAGAGCTCCAATTCTGCAACAAGTGTTGCGAATCCAAACACTCGCCCAAATACCGCACAGCCAAAGTGCAATGTCTCATGTGCAAAAGCGACATGCACCTGACCACGCTGCATCCAGACGCCGATCCACCGCTGCAGACATCTCGTAGCCCTCCTTTGAACAAAGAGCCTCAATGTGTTACAGAAGCACACCGAGGCAGTCGTGAGTGTCAATTGCACAGTAGTGTGCAATGGCACACCAGCCCCTCGCTCATGTTGTCAGATCTGCTTAGCCAAAGCCTACCCAGATGGACGCCCAGAAGAAGCAGTGAAGATGTATATAATACTGGACCCTCAGAGCGATCGCTCACTAGCCAAATCCGCATTCTTCCACCTCTTTGATGTTCAGAAGGAAGAAGTGCACTTCACAATATCGACGTGCACCGCACCAAGATGAACAGCGGGGAGGGAAGCTACTGGACTCTGTATAAAGTCATTAGATGAAAGTTCCCAGTTCCTACTGCCGCCCATGCTGGAATGGAACTGGATACCAGATGACCGCAGCCACAATGCAACACCAGAGGTATCTAGCAGCATACCTCACCTGAAGCATATGGCTCACCTATTTCCCACCCTAGATCCTGAAGCCAAGATTTTGCTCTTGCTGGGATTCGATGCCCCGATGCCTTAGCGCACACTGAAGTAGTCAGATGTCCGAGATACTCACCCTTTGCCCCCAAGACAGACCTGGGTTGGGGAATTTGTAGTTAATTTTTTTTCTTTTCTTTTAATAGTGGAATTTACAATTCCAGGTGGTGAGTGTGCTGTCCCAGTTAGTCTATGGGAATTGGATAGTTGCTCAGGAATTATGAGCTGTCCCCTTAAGGGAATGCATCATGGTAAATGTAGTTAAAGGTACTCTGGGAAATGTAGTTCAGGTCACGTGGCCACATCTGTAATCCCGATTGGTCACTAATTTGATCCTTGATGGGTTGGGGGAGTTTCCCTCACTTTTGCCTGAATTCATGGACTCATGGTAGCTGCTTTCTATTGCTACGAGATGGGTTAGAAGATAACCATCTTTTACCTACAAGACAGATATACAAAGGATTGGTCATTAAAGAAGAACTTTGTCACAAATGTGAGTTATGAGGATACCTGATGAACCAATAAATGTACTTTGTTATAGATGTTTTGTGGAGTTTATCAATCTGCATCTGCACAGCTTGCAAATCCACTACTGTGCAGAATACAGAAAAGACTGAAAGGAAGAAAGCAAAGAAGAGAAAATTCCCTGGGAAAGTCATTTCTCAGCTGTTGCAAAGCGGGAATGTTTGATCTCCTAATCGAGACTCAAAGTATTGCAAATTATTCTGTAGCTCAAAGTACCTTAATTACATGCTCAACATGGCCACTCCCTTTGGATTTTAATAGTCTGCTTTATTTTTTTAATATGATTTACTTATTTTTGAATTACAGGTTATAAATGAGGTTTATAAAATATGATAATGTAGCAATGTATTTATTTTTCATTAGCCTTGCACAATTCAAAGTTAAAGAATTACCAAAAAAAGGGTCTCCAGCAGTTCCTGCCACTATGATACGTTTATTCCTATTTCTTGAAGGACCTTTAAAAATTGCTGCTTGTAAACTCCAAGATGGAGGAGAACCTAGCAGAACAAGACAACTAGAGGAAGCTATGCTGGCTGACAGCAACTTGAACCTGCTATTCTGCTCTCCATGTTGTGGAAGAACACAAAAATAATCCAGGCCAAAGTGGGGGAACAAGGGAGGGGGGAAACAGAAGGAGAGAGCCCTCTGCATACCCATTTCACTTCCTGAAGGAAGAGTAGAAATCTAATATCTTTTCCATTTCTTACTTGAATTGAAGGTTCAACCGCTGTTTGATTTCCATCATAAAAACCATAAAGCTTCATTCTTTGTTTCTCTGTAAGGAATAAATAATTTCCAAATGCATAATTAACAAAATAGAAGGAGGCATTCTATAGAAGAGAAGGGAAGCAAAGATAAGACAGATGCGTAATCGGAGGATCTTCCATTACCTCCTGAGGTGTCCTGACTTGGATCTTCCCAAGGGATCCTCCTGAAAAATAGCTCCTGAGGGGGATTTGATGGGTTCTTCTTTCCCTCACCATCTCTTATCTCCACAGTTCAAACAGGAGAAAGGAAAAAAGAAGCAGAATTAATATACGTCACACCACACAAAGTGGTTTCTTATATTCGGAACACAACCTCAAAGCCCCCAATATCCATCCGTGTGGATGAGTGAGAAAACAGTGGAACAATGTCCTACAACAACTGGAGAATTGCCTCATATTATGAACATGGAAGAAGTCTGGGAAGGAGGGGTGAAGCATTCAAACACTTTCTCTCTTTATTCCCTTTCGAGCTCCCTAAAGTCTCCCACCTGCCACTGGAGAGGCTCCTTTTGCTCCTCGGCCTGGCTCAGGAGGAAGCCTTCCGCCAGGGCCACCGCCTGGGAACTGCTCTCTGCTCCACACTCCCGCACCCAGCCCTCCATCTCTGGAGGCAGGAGAGCCAGGAACCGCTCCAGAACCACCAGGTCCAGCATCTGGGCTTTGCTGTGTTTTCCTGGGTTCAGCCATCGCCTGCACAAGTCATGGAGTCGGCTGCAAAGTCCTCGGGGATCCTCAGCCTCCCGGTATTGGATGGAGCTCCAGGGCTGAACTTCAGAGGGGAGGCTGGTTCCCTCCTGCAGGACCTTCTGCCTGGTTCTGGTCCAGCTCTCCCTACAGTTCCCAGGCTGAAGAGCCGCAGGGCCTTTTCTGCTCCCCTCCTTGGGCACAGGGGGTGTCTCCATCCTTCCTCTGTCTGGCAGAGCAGCTCCAAAGGGCTCCAGGGACTCTGGGGGGTCTCCAGGGTCCTCTTCCTTCACGGGACCATTTCTGGGGCCGTAGGACAGATCCCTGCTGGTCCTCCTGCTCCCTTCCTTCCTTCTTTCCTCCACAGAGAAAATCCTAGCTTGCAAAGGATGCCGAGGGCTCCGAGGTTCCGGATCTGGGAGGGAGAGAAAAACAGACGCCCAGGATCAGAAAGGGGGATTCAGCCCCTGGACCCCCTTTTCCAAACCTGCCCGGAGCACCAAGCAGCTCATCCAGCCGCAGGGGCAGCCCCCCCCCCCTAGCATGGCCGGGAAGCTGGCAGCTGGAGTGGCCGCCCCGTCTCGCTTCTCTCCCCCTCCGGAGGACCGGACCCTCCGGGAGCCCGGTGCGAATCCTGCCTCTTCCTCCTCGCCCAGCTTCTCTCCTTTCCTTCTGGGCCTCCACCAGCCTCGCCCTCCCCTCACTTGGCATGGAGAGGGCGTCTGTGAGGCATGGGACCCGGGAAAAGCCCCCGCTTGACCTGGTGCACGTCTGGATGTCTCTCTGCCAGCCTCTCCTGCAGCCTCTCTGCCTCCTGCGATGCCCCAGTTGAGGACAGCGAGTGTGGCACCCTAGAGAGGCAAGGCTCAGTGATGTCACTTCCTTCACCGCCTCCTCCTCCTCCTCCTCTGGGAAGGCAGCTGTGACTTTCGCCCTCCAATGGCCCAATGGGGAAGCGCCTGGAATATTCCTTTCCCTTTGGCGGAAGTCGCCCCCTGGTGGACTTGGGGCAAAGGGCCAGGAGGGTAGAAAGGGCGGGAAAGTGGAGCGCATGGGAGGGGGCAGGGATGATGGGCTTGGGAGTAGCGGGAAAGGCCCTTCTCCGTGGCTCCCTGTCAAGGACTTCGGAGGCGGCTATTTCTCCGCCTTCCTCTCCTTCCTGCCCAGGAACCGTCGGTGGAGACGGAGGGAAAAAGCCTCTTGAGGGGATCCGAACTCGCCTCCCTCAGGAACCGCCGCCCTGAGGGCTGCGCAGAGATCGGAGGAGGCATCGAAAGGCGCCGAATCCCCTCAGAAACGGCCGGGCGGTGGGAAGACGAGGACCGGGAGCCTCGCTTGGACGCCCAGCTCGGGTCTGGCGGGGGTGGCGGGAGGGAAGCGGGCAAGGAGGCCCCGTGGGGGGAAAGGACGGTCCCTCCTTCCTCCTCCGCCTCCTCCGCGCAGCCGCCCTTCTCGGGCTCGGCCTCCCAGCGGAAGGGCAGGGACCCCCGGCCTCTTCTGAGGAGCCCCCCGGAAAGGCTCCGCGGGGGAAGGAGGGAGGGAGGCCGGGAGGCTCCGGCGCGGAGGAGGGGAAGCGGGCGAGGAAGCCGAGGGAGGAGGAGGAGGAGATTCCGGGCCTTTCGCCTCAGGGAGACTCCCAGGACGGAGCCGCCGCTTCTCTGCGCCCGCCGCCCGAGGCAGGAGGAGCCCTTGGGCCGCCCCGGAGAAACGGGGAGCCCGACCGCCTCTCTGGAAGCCCCTCCAGGCCGGATCCCCCTCGGAGGTTTCGCCCGACGGTCCCCTTTTCCTTCCCAGGGGGACCGACAAGGGCCCCTTCCCCGAAACCGGCAGCCAGGGGGGAGGGGGGACTATATATATATATAATATACACTTAAATATATTATATTAGGAGATTTCAATCCATTCCATTTCCAATCATAACCTGTAAGCCATCCAGAGTCCCCTTGTAGGGGAGACATCATAGAACAGAATAATGGAAGGCACTTCAGAGGTCATCTAGTCCAACGTCTCCTCAGGCAGGAATCCCTTCAGACCGTTTCAGACAAGATGGGCACCATAACAAAATGTAACATACATAAAGACAAATATGCCTCCGTGTCTCTCTCTCTCTCTCTCTTCCTGGGGTGGGGGCGATATGAGAAGGGGGAACAAAGGAGGCATCCAGACGGATCCTTCTGGGGTCTTCCCAGCCCCTCGCTCCCTTCAACCCCCAACTCCTCTGGTTAGCCCAACTTTTCCTCTCCCCCTAATCTTTGGCCCTTTGATCTGTGCTAGATTCAGACCTCTCCTCCCCCCTCCCCCAAAAACAGCCCCCCCAGTCTTGGTCCCTTCCCCCACTTCCCCCCCCCCCCCCGCCCCCCCCACGGGATCGAGGCTCAAATCCTGCCTGATCTTCACAGCCTCGGGGGGAAAACCGAAGTTTCTGAAACTGCAAAAATTCTATTTTTCTTCTACTTTTGGTGCCATTTGTGGATTCAGGAGTGAACCTGCCTCAGTTTCCCTCTTTCGCTTTCCGCCTCCTTCCTCTTTCCAGGCAACGGACTTTGGGGGCTCTGGATCCGGGTCTAATGTGGGGCCCGAAAGGTCCCACTCCCACCCAGTCACCGGTGGGGGGATGAGGGGGGTCCGACTGCGTCTCATATGCCTTCCCGCGACCCCCCTCCCATCCACACTCACCAGGAAGGGAAGACTGCGACCCCTTTGTCCCCCCTGGGCGAAGTGAGGGGAGAGAGGGAGCGGAGACCACGCGGAGATGGAGGCTTCTCAGGCTCCCGCTTCTCTTGCTTCGACCCCTTTCCCTATTGCGGGGGTCTCAGCACCTTTCTTCCCCCCAGGAGCACTGAGGGCCCTTCCCAGCACCTCTCCTCCCCCCCGCCCCCTCCTAACTGGGGGTCTCCTTCCCCCTTCGCTTCTGGGGATCCGGCCCAGCGCCCCCACCAGCAGCACCAGGGGGAACCCAGCAAAAGCCATGGATGCCGCCCCACAAGCGCCCCCAAAGAGAGGGGAGGAAGGCGCGGAGGCGGAACAGGGGGGTCTGAATTGGGGGCAGGGGGCGTTTTTCTCTAACTTCGGGATTGGGAGGCTTCATGAAAGCGGAAAGACCAATGAGAAGCCTCCCTTGTTGCAGCATCATCGGTCTCCGGGCAGAGTCTCCCTTGCATTCACCTGATGGCGGAGGGAGTTCGGTGCAGAGAGCGAAGCGGAGAAAGTGGGAGGGGGGTCTTTTCAGTCTTGGGGGGCCGCAGGTCAAGTGGGGGTTCAGGCCAGCCCTGGAGGGGAGGGGAGCTTCCTTTTGCCCTCCCCCCTCAATCCGGCCTGGAGTGGGGATGCGGTAGTTGTGAGAAGGGGAGGCGCACGCCCTACAGCCAGCGAGGAATTGGAGCTCTCTGACTTAACCGGTGACTCGGGAGTCCTCGAGCGCCTTCACACACACACACAAACACAAACCCGGTGGGAGCGCCCCTCCCCCAATCACATAGGGTCACTGCCCTCCCCGCCCTCCCAAAGCTTCTCCCTTTGGCTCCCTTCCTGGCAAGGGGGCTGCCGGAGGGCCGGTTTCACCCGCAGAGCTGAGTGGTTTTCTGACTCACCGCAAATGGAAGGTCAATTCTGGTTCAAGAAGGGCGATTGTTGATCTGAATGGGGGGAGGGGATAAGAGGGGCCCTGTCAACCTATTCTCCCAGAAGGCAGGAGGAGAAAGAAAGCAAGGAAATTGGCCAAGGAGAGATTCACTTCCTGACGGGGAGAGTTTGGGGACCTAAACGGACATCTAGTCCACCCCTCCATTCCCACAGAGGAAACTCTAGATGACAATCCTGAAGAGACCAAAGAAAGTGGAGGGTCCCTTCCGAGGCTGGCATGAACCCCCCCCTCCGCCTCCCATTGAGCGGCAGCCACCCAAGACTGAAGGGATCCCCCTCTTCCACTTTCAGCTTCGTTCTCTGCCTCCGAACGCTCTCCTCCTTCAGGTGAACTCACAAAGGAAACTCCCCGGAGACTGATGACGCTGCACCAGGGATAATTTCTATTGGTATTTCAGCCGTTCTGGCCCCTCCCAGCTCAAAAGTCAGAGAAAAACTTATCTTCCTCCTGACACACGCGCGCACGCACGAACACAAACGTGTTCGTTAAATGTGAAGATTGTGCTATGGGAACAGCTGCCGCGCTGGATGATAAGGGGGGAAGACGCAGCCCCGCAGCCAGTGAGAAGTTGGGGGCCACACCAATCTGAAGGGAAGCCCTGGAAAACCTTCAGCTAAACCAGGGAAAGGCGTAGCTTCGCTTCAGGGGAGAAAAAGGCGATTCGCCTCCTTGAAAGGCGCCTCGGGAACATCCTGAGGTAAATCTCAAGCAGCCCAGAGAAAAGGCGGGGGAAAAGGGAAACGCCCACAGCAACCAATCAGAGTGCAGATCACCTCAGGCGGGAGTCCGCCCTCACTCACCCACAACGGGTTGTTTGGGGCCTTCGTGCGCTTTCCTTCTCCAGCCATTTAATGGGATATTTTCACATATAAAGTGAAAAGACTTTGCTTTTGTCCTTTAGATTGAATTGTCAGGGTGGAATGGTTTCTTTTTAAAAAAACTTGCACTCTGCTAAAAAGAAATCAGCATCTCCCCCCCCACAGACACTTTTTTTTCTCTTCTACCTCAGTCTTTCTTTTCCCCTCTTTCTCTTTCCCTTAATTTCCTATTTCTATTTTTCTTTGTGTTTTGTATAATAAATAAATAAGATCTTGAGGCTGTAGAAAGAGAGCAGAGAAGATTAACAGATAATCAGAGTTAGAAGGGACCTTGTAGGTCATCTAGTCCCCCCCTCCCCCCCTGCCTAAGTAGGAGACCCTGGCAATCTCTTCTTAAAGGTCTCAAGTGATGGCACTCCCACAACTTCCGAGGGCAACATCTGTTCCATTGATGGTTTGTTGATTGTTTGTTCTGTCAGAAAGTTTCTCCTTATTTCCAGGTTGAATCTCCTTGTTCAGTTTCCATCCATTATTCCTTGTCTGGCCTTCAGGTGCTTTAGAAAATAGCTTGACCCACTTCTCCTCTGTGGCAGCCCCTCAAGTATTGGAAGACTGCTATCCTGTCTCCCCTAGTCCTTCTCTTTACTAGACTAGTCAAGCCCAGTTCCTGTAACTTCCTTTGTATCTTTTAGTCTCCAGTCCTCTAATGATTAATAGTACTTAGTTCTATAATGCTGAAGAACATTCAATTTATTTCTAATTTAAAGCAGGGATCTAATCTGGTTGCCACTCAAAGGACAACATTTCAGGTGTGGATGGTTGTTGTTTTCCATAAGCCCATTTCCACCTGGGATTAGCTAAAAAAAAAAGGCAGTGGCTTTACAAAGTGAAAGTCGTGACTATTTGTTTGAACAAGAAATGCACATTCTGGATGAGAAAAAATATTTCAGCAAGAAAATGGATGGAGCATTTTTAAAATCAGTGGAAATTGAAAAGGTTCAATTTGGCATTTTATTGAAAGCAACTTCAACTCGTATAGATTACTTTTAGTAGGGAAACAGACTATCAGATGGCATGAATCATTTTTATGGCCCAACCCAATCCCAAACTTACCGAATTTTAGACAAAAATGTACTGATAACATTTGGGGGTTCAAATTTGATGGGATGGGAGTTGCCAGAGAGATATTTTAATTCACTGCTGGATCCACTAGTGAATTGGAAGAATATTTTTCTTTTCTTTTTAAAGGTCCCCCCAGAGACAAAACTTTCTCCTTCTGTCCATCCAGGAATTGAGGGAGCCCTGGTGCCTGAAGTCCTAAGCCCGGTACAAGACTTCAGCAACTGGCATCCCTATTCACACTTTCGGCTCATG